CTTAGAAGGGTTAGCCACTATTTCTAATTGTATCATACCCGTCCCTTAGCCTACATTACAACCTAAAAGTCCTAATTGATCCTAGATTTGGCTAGCTTAAATTAGTAGAGATATACACTACAGACAAGCTTATGGTACGACCACGGGATGCATATGAACTCTTTGTGAGAGTGAGCGAATTTTGTTGAAATTGTGAGATGTCCTTAATCTATATTCAAAAGTATATTTGAATGTGTGAACTATCTATATTCACTCTTTTGTTTGTTGGTAAGAGCACATGATCTCATGAATGATTGGTGATGTTGTAAACTTTCTTGTTGGGTAAGTGCATGAGTTGAAGGTGCTTAGTGGTTGCAAGTCGGCTCTTGAGGTTGGATGGTGACAAATAAGTTGTCGGAATTGATTGAATTGAAGGGTTATACTTGGGCTTGCTTAAACAGGAAGAATATGAATTTTTGTGTGTTCATGCTTGTGTGCCGATATTGATCGTAGTCAAGGGTATAGTGTGTGGTTAAAAGTTAATGTGCTCCTCTATGATTGAACCTTGTACGTAGTTGGGGGTCTATTAGATAGTCCCATTGCTCGAGGACGAGCAAGAGTCTAAGTGTGGGGTGTTGATGTTTAGCTTAAAGTATATATATTTCTATGTATATCGCCTCATATTTTACTTTTGTTTCGTGAATTTGGGATGTTAAATGTATTGATTTATGTTAATTTGATGTATTTTTATGTGTAGGAATCATTCGGGAGCAATTGGGGTCGAAACGCGCGAGATTTGAGCAAAAACGAACGAAACCGGGCAATGTGCGAATTTGGGCGCCACCTACCTGTGGCGCCAAAAACAATAGCTCAAAATTGTGGGGCACTGTGGAGGGCGTCTGGCGCCGGGCTGGGCGCCAGTGACGCGGACTTTGTCCTATTTTGCCCGGGACACGGTTTATTCGGCCCTAGACCTATCCAACACATAAAAAAGCAAGACTAAACATATTTTTTGGGAGGAGGACGCCACTTTGGTGATATCTAACATACTTTGAAGGAGAATTCACGTGGGGGAACACACACCACGCTTGGAGGAGGCTTCGAACTAGTTTTTCTTCTCATCTCTTCCTTTAATTTCATAGTTTCTTTGTTCTAGAGTTTTAGGTGCTACATGAACGTTGTAGTTTGAAGCTTGGATTGTTCTTATTATTTTATCATATTGGTTTATTTATTCAATCTAGCGCTTAATTATTTGATTGCTTGATCACCAATTGAATACTATCTACGAATCTAAAATTGAACTCAGGAGAGGGAATTCTAGATTGCATATAAGATTGAGTAGAGCAATATCTTAACTCTTAAGGGGAGCGGATTTGCGGTTAGGATAGGAATATACCTAATCGCTTTGCTTGGTTATTATACGGGAATTATAAATGCGTTTTTGTTAATCCTAATTCCATAGGAATATAGGCGTTAGGTTAGCTTGAATAGGCGAGTTGTACTTCGGGAGAAGGCTACGAGCAATATTAACCCTGTCAACCAATAAACCAGATAAATTAATTAGACGATTTAAGTGGAAAACTCAACGGGATTGTTATCCAACCCATAGCTCTAGAATATTCACTCATATTGAATTCGTCTCTATAATTCGCCAACTTGTTTTCTTTAATCTATTAATTTGTTACTCTAGATTAATTTTAGTTAAATATTCATACTTTAGGAATCACTTGAATAGATTAATTATTTGATTTAATTTAGTTGATAGTTAATCACAAGTCACTGTGGGTACGATATCTGGACTTACAATCCTATATTATTACCGACCACGTATACTTGCGTGTGCGTTAGGGAGCAACAGTACAATAGCTGTCTGGAATACAAATTTGGAAAGACAGTAAACACAATACTCTGAAAGAGACTCTGCCGGCTGCGGGTCGTCTCGAGAGAGGCAGCTCACCTAAGTCTCTGTATCAACCATGCTGCTATGCCCACTAGGCCAACAGAAATACATGTGTCTGTGCAACAAAAATGCACAGCAAGCGTAGTATGAGTGCGAAAACAACGCGTACCCAGTAAGTATCTCGTCTAATCTCGAATAAGTAGTGACGAGAGGTCGACTTTGACACTTACTAGTGGTCCAATAATTTACCGATAATATAGTAAATCGAGGATTTTTATAAAAACGCCTGTAATTCAATAGCATGAAGCAAGTAAACAATTCTTTTATTAATACGATATTTTCAAATTCATTTTCATCATTTATACATTTATCTCAAGCCAGGGAGGCAATATCATCATTTATAAATTTGCAAGTCAAGCAATACAAGCATGCGCAAATCATGACGAGGTCGTACAGCTCGATCCAACAAATATTTAAACTGTGCACTGCAGAGGGTCGAATGGCGCGAACCATATATGCATCTATTATCCCGCTCGCGAGTCATACATGCGACACGGTTAAATATAAATAAACACATCAAACAATCAATCAAGAATTCATCAGGAAAACAATTACCAAAAGAAATGGCAACTTCTCTTTAACGGTCAAGAACATGATGTTTAATTTCTTTAGAAATTCATTTAACAATTCGATAAGATTTAAGCATTTTAAATTGACAACAAGATTTTAAATATTACAAGTAAAACATACTTCCGGGTGCTAGACTACCCGGACTTAAGCATAATAGCAGCTACCCACGGACTCTCACCTCGTGCATCGTAGCCCCCACAAATTGGAGCACATATTTAATTATATCACCTATGGGGTTAATTCTCTCTTACAAGGTTAGAAAAGAGACTCAACTTGCTCTGAAGTTCTATAACCGACTTCCAAGCCCTTCTTACGACTCAAATAGATGCACAATGCTCCAAAACTATCCAATAATTATGCAAACCCATTAATATACGCTCGAATACTCATTATAATCCAATTTATAACAATTGCTAACCCCGATTAAAAAGTCGATAAAAATCACCCTCGAGCCCACGTGCCGGGATTCTGAAATTTTTCAAAGATAAAGTTTACCCATAACATCACAAGCTCAAACATATAATTTACTCTAAATTTCATGTCCAAAATCGTGATCAAAATCCAAGAATACCAAATTTCTAGATTTTCCTCAAAATCCCAAATTTCTACTGATTTCCATGTTAAAGTATCTACATAATCAATGTATTTAACTCAAACTAGTATAAACCACTTACCTGATGCTTGGTGGTGAAAAAGGCACTCCTAAGTTGCCCCAAAATCGGCTCCCATGAAAGAAATGGAGTGAAAATGAGCCAAACCTCGATTTTAAAGAAACCTCACTGCCTCCAGCATTTTCGCACCTGCGGTCACTAGACCGCTTCTGCGGTTCCGCAGGTGCGGCCCCACAGTAGTGCTTCTGCGGTCTTCCACAAGCTTCCCCCTACCGCTCCTGCACTTTCCCCTCCGCATGTGCAATCCCGCTTCTGCGGCGAGATGACCGCATCTGCGGTCTCTGCACTTCCAGCCCAAATCGCATCTGCGGCCTTTATGGCCGCTTCTGCGGCTCCGCACCTGCGACCCAAGCCTCGCAGGTGAGATTACACCAGAAGGCAACTACTTCGTTTCTTCATCAAATTCCAAATTTGATCCGTTAACCATCTAGAATCCACCCGAGGCCCCCGGGACCCCGTCCAATCACACCAACCAGTCCCATAACATAAAACGGACCTGTTCGAGGCCTCAAATCACATCAAACAATGCTAAAACCATGAATCGCGCTGCAATTCAAGCTTAATGAACTTTAGAATTCAAACTTCTTCATTCGATGCCGAAACCTATCAAGTCATATCCGATTGACCTCAAATTTTTCACACAAGTCATATTCAACATTACGGACATACACCAACTTCCAGAATCAGAATTCGACCCCGATATAAGAAAGTTCACTTCCGGTCAAACTTCTCAAAAACCTTCAAATTTCTAACTTTCGCCAAATGATTTCAAAATGACCTACGAACCTCCAAATCCACTTCATATCGCGCTCCCAATACCAGAATTACCATACGAAGCTATTCGCAGACTCGAATTCCCAAACAGACATCGATAACACTGAAACGTACTGCAACCCACATTCATGAAATTCTTCCCATAATGCTAGCTTCCACAACAGGCGCCGAAACGCTCCCGGGTCATCGAAAACCCGATCCGGGCATACGCCGAAGTCCGATATCATCATACGGACCTGCTGAAACCTTTAAATCCTGATTCCGAGGTCGTTTACTCATAAATCAAACCTTAGTCAATTCTTTCAACTTAAAGTTTCCGAAATGAGAATTTTCTTTTTATATCAACTCCGAACTTCCCGAAATTCAATACCGACCATGCGTACAAGTCATAATACCTAAAGTGAAGTTGCTCATGGCCTCAAACCGCCGAACGACGTGCTAGAGCTCAAAACGACCGGTCAGGTCGTTACAGACGGGACAGCTAAACAACATAATAAAATAAAATTCACACTTAGTTAGAGAAACAGAAAACCCCAACAAAAAAATATGAAGAACCTGATCATCAAAATCGACATAAAATAAAGCTAAAGATCCTAACATCTTGAATAAATAAATGCAGAGAACCTATTTCAAACTCCAAGGCCTTGTATGGTGGATTAATCCAAATACACACAATTATTAAGCAGATTCTGAATTGGTTAATTGTAAGTAGTGTCGCTATTCTTGCATTGTTCAGCAATTATGCCGTAATGTAATAACACTTCAATTCCTGTATTTTAGATTATATTTTTCAATTTTTATCTCAAGATATACAACATACATTATTTAACTAGAATATTTAGAGCGTTTTACAATTGGAAGGAATGATGGAATTTGCTATAAAAATCAACTATTACTTACCTCATTTATCCTTTTATTGGTTTTTCGTATCATTATAAGAGCTTTGACTAAATAAGAATTTAACAATTTAATCTTTCAACCGTAACCGGTCCAAAGTGGAGAAAGAACTTAGACATAACGGATCGGTTCATTGTCATTCTCCTGAATTAGCAAAAGAGAAAATTCAGAGAACTATTCTTATTCTCAGAAACGTCAACTACATTATATGAGCATAAGATTACTTTAGATAACACACATGAGAGAAGAAAAGGCGATTGAAAGAATTTACTGGGCGAAGAGACTCTAAATGGTCATTCTCATAAGGTTGCTAGCCAGGTCATCTAAGATTATTTTTATGTAGTACCACCCGGTCCTTTCATTGTTACATGAACACAAACCAAGTGCTAAACATGATAGAAAGGAAGAAACCTCCCATGTAAGAAACTTTTGAAAAGAAATTTGAGGTAACCACATTCTCCATCAACTTTTCAGAAAAAAGGAGGCAGCATCTTGTTTCTTGGCTTGAAAAACCAGTCTAGAAGAACAAAATCTAAGCAGACGAATCCCTGACTTTTGGATAGAGAACATATTAATAACAAAAACATAAATAAAATTACGTTTGCGGTAGACCAATTTAAATGAAAAAGAAGCAGTAATAGAGTATATTTGTAATGTTCAGTGAATAAGAAACCAAAAGAAGTTCAAGACTGTAGCACTTCATTCCAAAGGAAAGATGGAAAAGACAAAGAACTGCATACTATAAAAGAGCAAACGAAAACTCCAAATAAAATGACTCTGCCATATCATCAAAATAAAATGGCTCAGGCATATCATCAAACACATCGGTTCATGCATAGAAGATAAATGAATTACCTCATCATCTTGCAAGATAAGATTCTAGAATTTTATCTCTGTCAACAACTTCTATCTTGCAAGTCCAGTCAGGTGTAGCTACGAAGTAAATTACCGTTAGTTATACAGAAAATTGGTGACGAAAATTTTCGATTCCTACTTGTTTTATATGAAAGATGAGGTATCCGAAAGTATAACTAAAAATATATTAAATATTGAACACGCACCAGTTTCTATCTCCAAACATGCATTTGAAAATTAGTTCTAATTATGTACATGCATATACAAAATTCACGAAGAAATTATATAAAAGAAGAGGAAGAAACACATACCAACCAAATTACCTAGCAACAACGGGAAAAAAATGGCCACAACCCTCGGCAGAACTCATAGATTCAAGAGAGACCAGATACAAATAGTAATCAATATGGAGAAATTCAAACGAAAACTAAGAAATGAGGCATGGAAGAATCAGGGGTGCGTTAAACAAAGAAAAGAATGCAAAAACTCTCACTAATTGAGAAATTGAGAAATCAGAAGTGACAATTTGGAACCAAATTTAGAAATTTGAAAGAAAAGTGAAACGAATTTAAGGTCTCAGAGAAGAGCAAAAGAAAGAACAAAAAAGGAGGTATCCGATGAACAATAAAAAAGAAGAAGATGATCGATCAGGATAATAGGAGTTTCTAGATTGTACTATTGGAGTGTAGTAGCAGACAATTTTGAACTAATGGTGGAATACACGTGTTCACAGAAGAATAGGCTGGAGATTTCAATCACCAATTTACCCCTAAACAGAAAATCAATGAGTGTAGGTCAAGGGTATAATAGACAAACAGTCATGTACTGATTTAATGAAATGGGCCCACTGTACGGTATATTCACGTAAAAATTGTGTGAACTAGCCATTTTTTAAAGTGGTATTTACTTTTTATCCAAAATTTTCAATGCTTAGCAATAGTAGCCACTAGTTTATTAAAATTAATATGAAAAGACTGTATTACCCTTTCTTCTATCTCTTTCATGTTAGGGAGAAGAACTCTGCCCAGAGAATTCATGGGGCTACATCAATGACTGAAATTGCTCTATTTTTCGACTTCAATTTTGTGTTCATTGACGGACCTTATAATGGTAGTAGTCTGAGTGTGGTTGGTCGAGTTCCTGAATCGCAGGGATACAGAGAATTGCAAATTATTGGTGGATCTGGAATTTTTAGGCCTGCTCAAGGTGTTGCTACTGCTAAGACTTATTTCTCAAGCAATACAACTGTTATTGTTGAATATAATGTCATTGTACGTCATTACTATTTTGTTACTTACTTTTTGTCTTAACTTTTGGGGGAACAATAAGCTTAGCTCCGAAAAATTGAACGGAGTAATGTTTGATAAATATGTTTCTTTGAGTTTTAGATCTCATGGTTCTTACAAATAATGTTGGGAACGCGACTGTGGTGTTATTGTTTATATATATATATATAGCTGCTGCTTTAATGAACTTAGGATTACAATTTCAAAAGTTAAGGACACTTGGTCTTGAACTAAGACTAACAGGCTCAAAAGTTAAGGACAATAGGTCCTGAACTTACAGTTACAAGTTCAAAAGTTAAGGACAATAGGTCCTGAAGTCCTGAACTTAGACTAACAAGCTCAAAAGTTAAGGACAATAGGTCCTGAACTTAGGCTAAGAAGCCCAAAAGTTAAGGACAATAGGTCCTGAACTTAGACTAACAAGCTCAAAAGTTAAGGACACTTGGTCCTGACATTACAGTTACATGTTCAAAAGTTAAGGACATTTGGTCCTGAACTTAGACTAACAAGCTCAAAAGTTAAGGACAATAGATCCTGAACTTAGACTTACAAGTTCAAAAGTTAAGGACAAGTAGTCCTTAACTTAGAGTTACAAGCACGGAACTTAAGGACAGGTGGTCCTGAACTTCGAGTTCCAAGTTCAAAAGTTAAGGACGTGTAGTCCTGAAGTCCTGAACTTAGAGTTGCAAGTTCAAAAGTTAAGGACATGTAGTCCTAAAGTCCTGAACTTAGAGTTGCAAGTTCAAAAGTTAAGGACACTTGGTCCTAAACTTTTATGAACATAAGGGTGTTTTCGTCCGGGCAGTTAAAGTTTAATAAAGCAGTGGCTAAAGACTAAAGATATTTTAAACAGTAGCTTAAAAGTAAATATATGTGTTATTAGTGGCTAATCGTGCACTACCCCCAATATTCACATTGAATTTAGTACGAACATGTCCGTCCCGCTCAACTCCCATTTCTAAATAATAGATAAGTAGTACGTAGGTAGTTTTAGAAGGGGTAACTGCTAACAGCTACGTGCTTCTTTCCCATCAACCAGAGGGCTGGATGAATTATGTGGAAATTAATCCCGAATTTAAAAAGACAATTAACAGAATATTCTAATAATGACAAAGATGTACTTTGTTATCTCAAAACCAATCAAAATTTTATTTTCATGATTATATTAGCCAGACCATATAAGACAGTAGTTAGTCATACATTGGGTACTCTTATAACGGTAATTTAATTTCACTTTCAGTTTACTTTAATGTCTTCAGCACGTGTGGTATGGAAAAACACAAATATCATACTATATTATAAACTAGTGAATATTATTAGATTTTACGAATATCAAAAATTTTAAAATTTCTTTTGTCTTCAAATTCAAATATTTCAAGTTTTATCCAATTATATTATCCACACTTAGCTTTATACATTATATATAATTTTCCATCATTTAGAGTTTTTACTCTTTCAAAAATACTTTTTTTTAGCAAACAGAAAATATATATATTAATAATTAAGGAGGGTTTAGTACATTGTTCGCATACTTGGTGTCTCGAAGGACACTTTGGTTACCTAGGCTTGCCAGAGTATTACAAGCATCATAAGATAGAAGTTTAACAAAAATACATTGTTCTAGTAGTTCCTTTTCCATAAAACATATTACATAAGGTGGAGCTTCAACAAAAGTCTTCTTGCCTTCCAGTTGATCCCTAGCTTTTCTTGCCATGTGATGAGCTGCATTATTCCCTTGCCTGAATGTGTGCTGGAGGATTATCTCCTTCTATTGGTGCATTAACCACCTGCATTCATTATCAATATCATCATAAAGTTTATTTCCCTGTAGGATGGATTGGATAGCCTCCACAGAATCTGATTCTATTGCAAGCGGGTATAATCTCCATTCCTTAGCCATTTTGAGCCCTTCCAGTAGGGCCTTTAACTCCACTTCTAGTGATCCACCTGCATATGATGGTTTACCAAATCCCACAATCCAGTGTCCTTTGGTATACCTGAAATTACCTCCCAATCCATATTTTTGTGTAGCATTGTCATAGCTAGCATCTATATTAAGCTTAGTCCATCCTTTTGGTGGTTTGTGCCATGCAATATTAATGTGGATTTTTGGAGGATTGAAAAAGCTTTTTTCAGTGAGGAGTTTATATTCAATAGCCTTTTTAATAATAAAATCACCATTGATTGGGGAAGTGGTGTTATTATGATTGTTATTGTTTCTATTTATCCAAGTATACCAAATAATGAAAGGGAAGAGAATGTCCCAATTTATAAAATTGTTCCTAATTGGGTAGTCAAAAGACTTCATTTGGTTTAGCCAGTGATCACCTGGTGCTTTGTAGTAGTGCTGCCACCCAATCTTATCCCAAAAAGGTTTGATTGCCTTGCAGCTAAAGAAAATGTGGAGTATAGATTCTTCCTCGTTATTTTTGCATACCGGACACCTTGGATCTACGTTTAAACCAATTTTTGCCAGGTATTGTCTACGGGAATCCTATTATGGAGGCATTGCCACAAAAAGAATTTTATTTTGTCGGGGCAATTAAGCTTCCAAATCCATTGGAAATCCAGAAGGTTGTTCTTCTGAGGTTCTAGTAAGTTAAAGCAAGATTTGGCTGTGAAGAAACCTTTGGTAGTTAGTGACCAATAGGAATGTCACTTCTTGGACCTTTTACCCGAATTCTAACCTTGTTAATAATTTCTTTAATGTTGTTCGGGATAATAAGGGAAAGTTTATCAAAGTCCCAATTTTTCCCATTGAATAAGTCGTTTATTTTTAAGGATTGATCTCTTTTTTTGGATAGGTCCTTCCACTGTTGCTCTAAGATTTCCTACACTTAGGATCCAATTGGTTTGCCAAATATTCATGTTAGAGAGGATGTGGGGGGACCAAGTAATTCCTTTAGAGCATGACTCCCAACCCTTTTTAATGCTCTTCCAAATAAAAGAATTTTTATTATTGGCATTATTAGAAGCATAGGAAGAGATTATTAGAGTAGCCCAAGGAGAGGTAGGAATGGTGAGCATTCCCCAAACCATACTAGCTAATGTGCATAAATTCTTTGAAGTTGCACTATGTATACCTAGATCACCATTTGATTTTGATTGGCAAATGGTAGACAAACTAATAAGGTGAATTGTTTTTTTCTCATTTGTAGACCCCCAGATGAAATCTCTTTGCACCTTGTCGATTTTGTTGAGGATCTTTTTGGAAGTAAGGTATATTGCATATAGTGGTTTGGTAGTGAATTTAAACAAGAATGTGAGAGCGTTGTTCTACCAGCTATATTGATGAATTTTATTTTTCAAGCAGCTAATTTGGATCTCATTTTATCAACAATGAATTGGTAGTCCCTTGGCCGAGGGAAATTATTTAAGATTGAAAATCCTAGGTAGGTACCAAATGACTCACTTTTTTTAATACCTAGTACGTGAGTAATATCTTTTATGATAGATTCAGGATAATTTTTTGAAAACATAACTTTTGATTTGGAAAGGTTAATTTTTTGTCCAGAAATAGTACTAAAATAGTCTAGACCTCCCTTGATGGTGTTACATGATTTTTTATTGGATTTGGCCATCAAAGTGAGATCGTCTGCAAAGAACAAGTGTGAAAATTTTGGACACTTTCTCCCCATGGTTATTGGATCCCAATTCCTTATATCTACTTGATAGTGTATATATCTTGAAAGCATTTTCAAACAAAGGATGAAGATACAGGGAGAGATGGGGTCCCCTTGCCTAATTCCCCTAGTTGGCTCAAAAGAGTTTGTAATAGAGCAATTTACTAGGACTGCTATCGAACTAGTTGAAATACAGTTTAATAGAAGTTTTGAGAATTTGGGAGGGAATTTGAAGTACTGAAGAATATGATGTATAAAGGACCACTCAAGACGATCAAAAGCCTTTTCCAAATCAATTTTGAGGATCGTTTGACCTTGCTTTCCTTTTAATCTTTTTAGGTTTGAAACTAGGTCTTGGATAATGACTGCATTGTCAGAAGCTCTTCTGTTTTTCATGAAGCTAGCTTGGAAGAGACTAATTAGTTGGTCTAGGAATGATTTTAGCCTATTTGCTAGAACCTTTGTGATTATTTTGTAAATGGTGTTACAAAGTCCAATTGGTCTAAAATTCCTAANCCCGTAGCGGCGACCACCCGATCCACACATGATACATACCGAGCTAGAGTGCTCATTACTTCAAAATATCGAATATCGTCCACAAGCACGCTAAGTACATAATACCATCCCCGGGGAGACAGATAGCGCCATACACTACAAAACTCAAGCACAACTGAGGTGCGATATATGATCTGAATTTCAAGAGCCATCCTGCTCACGTAACATCATCGCTACGTGGAACATTAACACATAAGAGAATTATCAAGCCATTTCACAACTCACACGGCACAATATAGTATTACATGAAATAGCCGACGA